TGGCCAATGACTAATCAGTTTAATATAGACAATAGATTATCTACTATCCAACGATATGGCAATATCATATGGTAAGATATGGTAAATATTACATCATGTTGTACTTATACAAAGTAAATTGTAATTATACTTGGTTAGGTCGTTACCGGTCCGTCCGGCTGTTGTTACTCAACAATAACATGGTTGTTTAAGGCGATTCGATCCCAGCTGTGTTTTCTACCAAAATAAACCTACAATAGGCATACAAATTGTATATGCGTCTTACAATTGTACCCAGTAATTGGATAGAACTTTAGATGACATCAATGGTGTGCACCGGTGGAGAGGTTAGGGTTATCCTCCCCCCCCCCCCCCCATTGTCCTATAAATCTCCTTATTTGTGTCTTTGGTACTAGCTCCACAATTCATTTAAATGTATTATTACCAGGGGTGGGACCTTGTAGCATTTGCATATTTCTTATAAAATGCTTAAGAGATTGCTTCAAATTTGTTTCCTAATTTAGAGAACTAAAATTCAACAATTTACTTTGCATATTGTATTTTATATCCTATTTCTTTGATTTTAGTGTTTTTTTTTTTTATCTTTTTGGAATATTTTTGCATTTTGACCAATTTTTGAATCAAAATTGGTTATATTGTGTAAAATAACATTTTAATAAAATATGATAGTTTAAGTTTATAAGTAAATATAGATTAAGTAAAATAGACTGACTACATGGACGCATTATTTATATACGAAGTATTATTTTTGAATTATTAGCTTAGGTTATCAGTTGATTTTAATTTGAGCCTTTTTTTGTTATTTACGGCAGCGATTATAATATTATCAAACGAGTATTGAAAGCGTTTGGTATATATAATATTTATACAGCATAGTACTCTAGTGCAGTCTGGTTGACTAGTGTACGAGTACCTACTGGCTACTATCTAGTTATGTTTTCGGTTGAACGTGGTTATTCTTTGTCACGCCTTAGCTAGTGCTAGCAGAGGTATGCTTTAAAATCTCATATTTTGCATATTTTGTTTATTTTATTACACATCTTTATTACCTATATAATTAGCGGTATTTAAAGTAACATTATAGGTGCTATGAACATCCCTCCCATCATTGGAAATTCCTGGACACGCCACTGGTGAAACCACCACCAATTTTCTTAAAAACTTCTATTCTTCCATGTATTTTAAATTGAACGCTCAGGCCCAAAATCCTTCAAAACTAGATTTTGTTATTTTAAATAATATGCATTTTTAAATAAAATTGAACTAAAAAAATTAATCGAAAAATGTAAAGAAGTAGATTTCATTAAAACTTTATGACAAATTCAAATATGTTTTTGGATAAATGTGTTGGCTGAAACAGTTGAAAAGAAATTGATACTTTTGACAACAAATCGCAAAGGGATTAGATACCGACCGTTTATAAAAAGTTTTATGAAGGGAAGTGTGTGCGTGTGGTTCCTGTAAATGTGTGCTAAGTAAATCATCATTAGTTTGCTTAACTGTGAAAATGTCAAAATATATTATAGCGAAGAGCTCCCGCACATGTCTATAACGCTCTACACGAATATTAATTGTTATTTTATTAAATAAACAATTTAATATTTTTGGTCAACCCGGATCGTTGCTATACCACATAAACATGGTTATCATTATTAATGGAAGATAATCCACAATAAGCAATAAAAACTTTGTTGTGCAACAATAACGATTTTACATAATATCTCGTATTTTACGAGAGTAATTTAATACATTTTTAATTTTGTTTAATGCTTTTTTCCATACATATGGTGATATTTTCTAAATACATGGATACCTTAAGAATTTTAAGATATTTAGTCCCTATAGTCAGTAGCCCTATATGGTTAATAAATAATAGTTATAACTCATACCTCATACAATTGTAATCAGACAGGTTACTCTGGTGCAATAAAAAAGTTTTTCTCGAAAAAAGATATCACCACCATTAGATATTGTATTAAGTTAATAATAGTTATAACTGTTATGATACAGATATTGTAAACAATACTCAACTCCATTTTCTATAGTTATTAAGTTTCAAATAAAATTATACAAAGTGTAGTCGTTTTAAAATTACCAATAATTTTATATCGAATACGATAAATAATTATTTTCTTTCTTTCTGATTACAGAGTAAAGCGTGATGAAAACCAAAAATGGAAATCAAAATTAACTCAAACCCATTTATTCTTTTATAAAGATTTATTAATAATTATTGCATTACCTAGAGGGGAGAGGGAAACATCTCAATTTGGTAATAAATTAAAAACGTTATGATCACCGAAATCTGACAGAAATTGTGTAAGTACTTAATATTATTTTAATGGCAGCATCAAAATTCGAAATACATATAGATTTTAACAGATTGTGTTAATTTTTCAAGCTATGCACCAGCGGAAACCATACTTTTTAGTCGATAGTACACTTTTTTAGCTCGTGTGTTGCCCTGCTGTGAATAGTGAATACTATGAGCATCGTGAATAAAAAATCAATATTGATAACTCATTTAAAGTTCGTTTATTTTGGTAAAAATATCAGCCAAGTACGAAAATGCCCAAGATAGACGACGTCAATCCCCGGAAGTCGTGTGTAAAACATTACCTACATTTATGTGGCTTATCAGACTCACATACTATAATAAGAATACGTATGGAGTCGAATTTGTTAAATGTCAAAAATAGATGGACAAAAGATTCAGACACAATATTTTCTGATAACCGAATAGCCAGTTATATAAAATTAGTATTACTATTATTAGTACCTATATTAATACTTAATAGTTGAAATTATTTTTATAAAATTTAAATTTAAATCCACAAAAATAATATTGCAACAAAAAGTAAATACTATGAGTCGTTGCCTGTGATGCCCATAGAATGGGTTCGCCGTGTCATACGTTTGGGAACCACTTTTATAAACTAAACTACAGTTTGTACGCGCTTTTATTAATTGTGACGATATATCATTAAGAAGGTATTAGTTTCGTTTGGAAGGAGAAGAAGCCGTTTTGCTGTATTATAGAAGTAATTCTATAATAATTACTCTCCGAAATCAACTTATTATTTTCTAACTGATCAATAATGTGTACCAAATAAAATATTCGGTGTACTACGCGTATCGTTTAGTTAATTGTATTTTGTGTACTGATTTTTGACACTCACGTCTGGTTGTTGTTGGTTGTTTCTCTGCATAGTGCCGCCGCCGCCACCGGCACCGCCATAATATTGAGTGTTGATAACGACTGGCCGACGAAGTGTCATGACTCCCGGGTGGTATTGTCCGGTCGCGTTGTTGTAACGGTTGTGCTGGTGGTGGACTTGCTGTTGGCGGTGGTTGTGTATCGGAGACGACGAAGTGGACGAAGCCATGATGAGAGTCATGGAGTCAGCCGGGTCGCCAAGATCTGTTGACAAGCGCGGTTCAGTTGTAAATACATTTGTATTATAATTGATGAGAAAAGTTACAACAAATAGTAAAAAGTGATGAACAAATAATATTAATACCCAATACTTTTTCCACAAACACTTCTGAGAAATGTTTGTTATTTTGAAAAAATAATATTTTTTTAACACCACTTTTTACAGTTTTTTTAAGTCTTTTAATTTTTGCACCATGGTGCTTTTTTAAATTTTCTACTATTTTTTCGAACGGAGAACGCGGTAAGAGTACTCTCTATTGTCATCATTTTATTCCGCTTCCTCAAACATTACGTGTTTGTTAATAACAATAATTAATTTTTTCGATATTAAAACTTCAACATTTGTAAAAATGTGTATTCTAATTTGGTATGTGGAATAAAAAATATATGTAAGTGTCTTAAAAAACCATTACGGTAAAAATATTAAACACAGTGTCATAAATCATACTCGAAATTTGATCTCAATAAACTTTATTTTTAATATTATTCATAACTTACTAGTTAAAAACATATCAATAAAGTTAAATTTTTATAAAAATACCAAATAGTATCTATTAATTAGTAAAAAAAAAGCTTTAAATTACACGACAAATCACTTGGGTGTACCAATAATCAAAGTATATACTCGAAACTCGACACGAATAAATTGTCCATTTCTTCGTTCTGCCGTTTGAGTCAACATTAGCCATTAGGTTATGTTTGGTTATCTTATATAATTAGTAATAATATTACTAAATCATATTATTATTATTTATTATGATGGAAAGTATTTTGCTTTTAAATTTTTTGATAATAAATTATGATTACGTACTCTGCGTTTAAGAAGGTTATTCGGCTAAATTTGTTCATTTTTCTGAATTTATTTCAAAGAACGTGTGGTCTATTAAAACGTACGCGATAACCGAGCATAGCATAACTAAATATTACACGAAGAAATATAGGATTGAAGATGGGATTTTTTTGGTGCTCAAGGACCATTACTATCACTATCTTCCCACTATTTGAACCCACCTGAAAATACTCAAAAACCGACTGGGACATTAATTATATTTAAATGGCTTCAGTCTCGCATATTTTACAGTAGATGAGTAAAAATATTCAAATACTTGTATGTGCTGAAATGTGTATTTGAAATACTTTCTCAAAGAATCTGTATTTCAAATTAAATAGAAATTCAATAACGTAAAATAAAGAAATGAGGTAGATATGAATATGTCTATTTGTGACATAAAATAAACCAAATCTGAAAGAAGTTTTATTATTATTTATCGGTACATTCCTATATAATATTACGGTCTAGGACGTTTTGGCGCTGCCGTTTTGGCCCTGCCGTTTTGGCCCTGCCGTTTTGGCGCTAACCTGGTTTGGCGCTATCCATTTTGGCGCTAGCCGTTTTGGCGCCAACTAACCTAATAGAATTTATATCAAAAATATATAGTAAAAATAAATAGTTTTAAAATATTATTACAAGATAATATAGTCAAAATATAAATAAATAGTCAAAGTATAAATATAAATATATAGTAAAAATAAATAGTTTCAAAACATTATTACAAGGTAATTAGTCAAAGTATAAATATAAATATATAGTAAAAATAAATAGTTTTAAAACATTATTACAAGGTAATATAGTCAAAATATTATTACATTAAAAATAGTTACCCTAATGAAACATTGTTTGCAATGCCTCTTAAAAATAATAAAATTCTATTTTTATCATAATTAGACACTAATTTTAAAATTCTTTTATCATTATCAATGTATTTCTTCTTTTTTTTTGGTGGACTTCCACCAGTAACTAATTGTTCATAAAATACGTCTCTACCTGTTTGGATTTTTTTAAGGCAATTTATAAATGACCATATTGTTGGATGAGTAACCCCCATTTGAATATTTAAACGCCTATTAGCAGCTTCAGCGTGATTATTTGTGCGGTTTTGGTTTGTTAACACCCTTTGATATAAATTCCATATTTCTAGAGGAAATTGTGGTGATCGACGACCCACTTTTCTTCTATTTTTTCTTCCTATATAATATTCTTCGAACCATTCAAGTAACGGAACAATGTTGTCAGGTAAATCATCAGCAAGCAAATCTGTTGCCACGTCCAGATCTTCAATTGGTACAAATGCTAATGAAATTATCATTTTTACCATCACAGAAAAATTAGCATCATTGTTATAATTCGATATCATTCCTATGTCTCCCATTTTTTTCCGAAAATTTTTGGTTAAATGATAATAACATCCATGTACGTTTACTTGAGGAAACGCTTCTTTAGTTGCACTAATAGCAGCAATTTCAAAATCAATAGAAATTGAATCTGGTAATAATCTTGGATTTAGATCGATCAACATCGTAAATAATTTGCGATAAGTTTCACCTTTTTTATTTGGTAATAGTGCGTATATTATTGGATGAATACCACCTACGTCTTCTGCCAAAATAATGTATACTTGCGAAAATAATGAAGGACTAACACTAAATGTTCCATCAACAAACCATGTCTTAGAACGTTCCAAAATATTTAATCCCGTTTGTCTTCCAAATATTAAAATTCTATTAATTTCTTTACCACTATCAGCTAATAAAAATTGTTCATGGATACCTTCTTCTGGCGAATAAGTTTGATACATTTCAGGTATTTCTAATGAAATCAGATCCAAAGGTGCTGGTGGAGCAAGCTGAGCAACTCTCCTTTTTCTTCTGATTTGCTTTTTTAATGCATCGTTATTTGGAAGAACACCCTAGTATAAAAATGTAAAAATATAAAAATATTTTGAATAAGAAAAAAGTGAATATTTGACGAAATAACGAGTATTTTATGATAAAAGAATCAACCTGTATAGTAATATTGTATAATTTTTTTTTTAGTACCTTTGCCGCTTGTGATAGACTTGATGTACATTCATTGATAACGCATGATGTTTGTTCCATCGTGGACAATGCCCGTTTTTTAATATTGGTAATAACAATTTGTGTTTCAACTTTAGCAGCATCAGAACCATGCGTGTGTAAATTTTCAGATTTTTTTAAAATCGTTAAGTTGTCAATACTTGTATGAATTCTTGCCAAACAATCATTCTTTTGACGACATCTCCAAAACTATTTTTGTTTGTCGGCACTAAATTTATCAAAAATATACATGTAACCGTCATTTACAAGCATTTCTCGATCACGTTTCGATTGAATTTTCTCCATTTTTAAATTATAACTGTGTATAAACTTTATTAACACTTCACTAAACCGCGTGCTTGTATACTGTATTAGACAAAAATGACACCGAACTATCAGGTGAACACCAAATTTTATTTTATTGTTATATTATTTTTATCATCATATATAGATAACTCGCGACCTTTCTTTTCTAATCGTCGTTGTAGATTCTATGCAATATATGATCTAATGGTTTTGCGTGTGAACAGCATGATTTGCTTTTATCGTTTTACTTTATTACAGTCACAATAGATAACGTGCGATCTTTATTGTCGATTGACATTTTTTCGTCTTGGATTATATACCAATCATTTATATTTATAAATTTTTAAGTACATTTTTATAGCTAACTATTTAATATATTTTCATTTCAAATAAATTGTAATATTTAACAAAATTGTAATTTTAAATATTATATAGAAATATTAGCTGGCGCCAAAACGGCTAGCGCCAAAATGGATAGCGCCAAACCGAGTTAGCGCCAAAACGGCAGGGCCAAAACGGCAGCGCCCAAACGGCGGCGCCAAAACGTCCGTGTCCGATAATATTATTGTTCATAGTATATTTTTGCTGAGTGGGTCTAGCGTACCGTGCAATATCATCACAGTCAAATGTTAATGTATAAGAAATAAGAAGTGTAATTTAAACAAACTCGTAATATTATAAAATTGTATATTTTTAAAAATAATTAGTTAGTGTATTTCTGGACCAATCCCTACATTTTGATATGAACAATAATATTACATTCGTTTTGTGTGATTTATAGCTTATATCCACCTGAAATTTAAATTACTTGTCTAAGAAAACAGATAAATAACTTGTAGTTACCTACATCAAATAAAATGGTATAAAATTCTTTATAAAATTAATATAAAACATAAAAAAATGCTAAAAAAACTTCGGTTCAGTTGATTTAAGGTAACATTTTGTTTCTAAAAAAAATTTGAAATTGTTATTGCATGCATTTTATCTATAAATATTTTTTTAACGAACCTGTATTTGTACTCTTAATACTTTTTTTTTCGCGGATTCAAATACGTATTTTAAATACATTCGGTACCTTATAGTTTATACACCGGTCGTGACGACATACTATGAATTGGTTTCAAGGTAGCGATAAAATTCCGTTTATTTGTTTTATGTACAAAATCAAATTCGGTTGGAAAGACATATTTTTTTAAGGTCTTCTGGCTGTCTTTATGTATGATACTGGCCGTATTTTTAAAATTAAGTAGCTGTGTCTGTTATTGAAAACTTTTAAAATGTATCTTATGCAAGACTGCAGACATGGATCCTTACCGCTGTCGTAGTTATTGTAAACGGTGCCGGGCGACATGAGCGGCGCCGGTATGATGTCCGGGTTCCTGCTGTGGTACGACTGAGGTATCCGTCCCGGTCCCGGTTGGTCGATGGAGGCGGTGGCCGACAGCGACATTTTCTGCTGCAATGACGGCTTGCACGTAGCGCCGTACGACAACTGCTGCGCGCTGTTGTTTGTGGACGGCACGCCGCGCAAGAGGGTCGTCGGAGACGCGCGCGAAGGCGGCACGAGGGCGATCGGCGTGCCGGAGACGATGTCCTGCTGCGATCCACCACCGTCCGCGCAAGAGCCGCCGATCGGGACCGCGCTGCCTCTGCCGATAGTGTTGCTGCAGATCCTCTGCAAGCCGCCAACCACTCGGCCGCCGACGACGTTACCGCAGTGGTATTCCTTGCTGCTGTCCGTCGAAGTCATGTTTTTGCCACCGTTGTTGTTGCCATTGCCGAAGTTCACGCCGACGTTGTTGTTGTTGTTTGGCATCGCTCCATTCGGCGGCACCGCGCAACCGTCCGTGTTGACTGGCTGACAGTGCACCGGTCCTTCTGGCTTGTTCCCTGCACCGGCGATGCACACAGTTCCCGAGTCCACCACAGTCCGTTCCGATCCACGGCCGTTGTCTCGGTCGTCGTCATCGTTGTCGTCATCGTCGTCGTCTTTGCGGTACCGCAGAAACGTGGCCGCTCCGCAAGCGACCACTACCAACGATCCGGCCACGAGCAACACAATAGCCATGGCGCGCGTCATCCGAAAATCACCCACGCCACCTCCGTTTTCTTGTAGCCTCCGATCTGCAAACCACACGTACGATTAACAATATAGGGACACATACTCGTATACATTAATGTAACACTTGTATGTATAATCATATTATATAGTAATGACAATAATAATATTATAATTCAACTACCCTGCAGTACTATTATTTATAATTTTTATTTTTGCATAATGAACGATGCATCTATATAATCAACAATTAAAAAACGAAACAAAAACACGACGGAACGAAACAGAAACAAGACTCAATTATCTTGGTACTAAAGAAAACCATTCCAAATCATCCTTGTCAGTTTTCCCGTGTATATTACTTGAAAAGTTAGTCTGACTTGAACTCAAATAAAAATAAGTGTCCTACATAACCTGGTGTTTTGAGTATATTGAATTGCTCTAGAAGACGTCGAGCATCCACTCGACCATAAAGTCACTAAATACAACTCTTACAGTATACAATTTGCACAACAGGTCCATTGTCATTATTCGGGGGGGGGGGGGGGGATAGAACTCCTAAGATATACTATATATAAAGCTGAGAAATATATTTTAAACCAGACTAATTCTCTGAGTGGTTGGATGCAGTTTTTTGGTACTGAAATAAACTATTAATACTTTAAGAACAATTTTTTACAGAGTGTTTGACCAATTTAATTTTAAAGGACAATATTAATCTATACATTTTTTAAATATTATTCTATACACCTTGAGAATCAGTTCATGTCTAGGTAAATATAGCTTATGATGAACCACGAACCGACACTTATAAGGATCTATTAGCTATATAAGACCGAAACTAGGAGTGTAAGGGGCCTATGCCAATTATGTAGAAAACTTTGATCATGAAGAATTGATTTACTCGATTAAATGCTTTGAAAAAATTAGTATAGATTTATCAAGTTAGCTGTTTGCATGTAAAGAGTCATACGTGTAATCGGTCAGCACAAGGTTGTATGTAGAAATAGAGTGACATAGACGGGATTCATGCTGTTCTTCAGCGAGAATATGATTGAGGAAAGGCGGATAGAGTAAAATACAATTTTTTCAAAAACTTTTGACAGATGAGAAAGAAAGGTGAAGTGAAGATAGTTTGTGACACTCTGTGAATCACTTGTCTTTAGGATGGGAGTAATAAAACCAATTATTCAATCAAAGTCATCCATAAGGATTAAGGATGAAAACAAGATTTAAAGTCTTGTCTTGATTCTAACAAGTACGTAAAGGCATAATTTAACCTATGCATTATTGAATAGAATATCTCCGGTTAAAAAAAGAAAAACATTTTTAGTACTTAGAAACAAACCAGAAAAGAGTTGTAAAATACGATGGATTAGATTCGACCTTAAAAATAAATAAAATACCTATCTACAGTGAAAAGTGAAAGTATTTGGTAAAATATTATTTACAGTTTAACTTCTAGTTGTGGTATAATTTTTAAACAACGAGATGCGTGAAAGCTTTTAAATTTAAAGAACATGTTAGCCAATTCAATAATATTTTAATTGTTTAGCTTTGTGTAATTTGTATTGTATACACAATATAGCCAATATAGATACATTTTATTTTATTTTTTAATAATTTGTTGTATATGATGTATTATGAAATTAATGATATAGTGTCTATTTATATAGTCAGAATAAAATTAAAAAAATTGAATTTTGTATTTAACCTAAATACGAATTCAGTTTTTATTTGACAATTGATAATGATTTGTGACATCATGTAATTAATCTACATGAATTTATTTTCTTAAATTATTTTTATTAATAGTTAATTTAAAAATAATAATTAGATATAAGAAAAAAAATTGGTTTTTATATTTTTTCATTTATACTATACCTATAAGGTTAATTTATTTACGATATGAAATAAAAATAAAAAAATAAATTAAAATAACATTAAGTAACTAGTAGATAACTTGCAGGTTAGGTTAGGTTAAGATATGGTATATCTATGTACTTATAAATAAATGCATTTAAATAAATATAAATAAATAATACACCTTTTTGAATTTTTGTCTTGCCCTGGCCCCTGGTGTTTTATGTGTACTTTGTACACTCATGCAACTAATAAAGTAATAACTAAGCACGTAATTGCATTTTTAATTAATACCGTAGTACAATTTGATATATTTACAGAATGTAATTATAAACCTCCCCTATAAATGTATTCTCTAGGGTGGGTAAGGGGGATAGAAATCGCAAGAGGTAATAATCACCTATAGTGTAACAGGCGCTTATTGCCCCTCTAGATATTATAAACTTGGTTGAAGCGAGGGAGTACTAATTTGTAGGGTGACAAATACGACTGCAGTTACTCAAGGGAATTACTGCCAGCCTTTGTAAATATATTATACGAAGTAAAATTGTTAAAGTATAAATATTCAATGACACTACAGGTATGATTCACACTAGGAATGAAAACTTTTTGATTACGCTTAAAATTTGTAATTAATCGCAGGGAATGATATTTTAATTGATTATTTGTTTAATATTTTAACTTTCTGTGCAATTTTAAAATATTTGCTTGTCACATAGTTTTTACAATAAATTACTTTGGTTTTTATTTTATAAGATTTTTAATTTTAATGTTACATGGTTGAGGTATCTGTTTGTTTTAGCCATATTAAAAAACAAAAAACTCAATAGTCGTTCTTTAATAGATTTTATACTGTACCTAAAGATTTATAATATATACTCTATTATACTCCAACTATTTTTAAATAATTTTGAAAAATAATATTGTTCTAATATATTCTTTTATAAATAGCTAAAGTGGCTTATCAAACACACATTC